GTCCCCTCCGAGGGCGTGAAGCAGGCGCTCATTACTGCTGAAGGCGTAGTCGTGCGTCTGGTAGCGGTAGATCCTTTAAGAGGAGACCAGAAACAGGTTTGTGTGGACACTGGCCAAGGGGCTCTGCACAGGTTCAGTTGCCTACAGGAAAGCTGGAGAGGGACATTGGACAAGGGCGTGGAGTGACAGGACACAGGGCAATGGCTTTAAACTGGAGGAGGGGAGATTTAGATTGGATATAAAGAAGAAATTTTTTACACTGAGGGTGGTGAGGCACTGGAACAGGTTGCCCAGAGAAGCTGTGGCTGCCCCATCCCTGGAAGTGTTCAAGGCCAGGTTGGACGGGGCATTGAGCAGCCTGGTGTAGTGGAGGGTGTCCCTGCCCATGGCAAGGGGGTTGAAACTGGGTGGTCTTTCAAGTCCCTTCCAACCCAAACCAGTCTATGGCTCCACAATTCAATGATTTGTTGCCCTCTGAAGGTGCAGAGGATCTCACAGCACAGCTCCCAAGAGCTTCATGGGAACATCAGGGCTTGTCCTTCCAGCCGAGCCCCAGCCTGAGGAGACCCAGACCTTCATTATGCATTTGCTGATCTCCCCTAATGAAAGGCTTTGTACACAGTTACCCATTTAACTCTTTAGTGCCTAGATGCCAAATCAATGGCACAACCCACATCTAAGCTGCGTTCCCACCTCAGCTCCTTGTTATCCCTACACCCGTTTGAAGATGACAGCGCTTATCTCAATCTTTTTCCTTAGGGAAAGGATCGGCAATGGAGAGAGGGCAACCGGAGACTCCTTCCGTGTTGGCGACGGGATGATTTCACCCCTTTTAACAGCTCAGCAGCAGGTCTCACACCTTTTCCCACCGCGGCTTTCCCATGTTTTCCCTAACAGGGACCCGACGTACCGCATGAACTTGTCCAGGATGTCCTCGACCCACATGTACATTCGCAGGGGGTTGAGCCCGTAGTGCCAGAGGAGCTTGAGGAGGTTCACGATGTACCAGCTGCTCTCCTCGAACACGAACTCCTCCCCGTTATAAATGCCCGCGAGGCTGCCGTGCGCCGGGGCGACCGAAAGACCTGGAGGAATGGAGTGAAAAAAAGGTAATTTAAGGAAAAGTAGAGCTTGTGTCAAGCTAAACTATATTATGCCTCAATTTTAACTTCCCGGGACAACCTAGGTGTGCGTTGATACGGGTAAGCAATTAAAGATTAGATCCTCAAGACACAGAAAGGGGAATTAATTCTTGACCAGGTGCCAGCTCGTTATCTGCGGTGACTTTTGGACCTTTATGATGGGATTAATGCATCACTCCATGGACGGGGGAAGGGATGGGGGGGGGTCCCATTTTCATTGGGATGCGGGTCTCCTTTTCCCAGGGCACTGGGGTACTGCAGTGGGGTACTGGAGGACGATATTGGGGGA